TGCTTAAACCACCAGCCAGCACAATACTAGTAGACGTAGAGGACATGGGAATCCTAAGAGGGAATTCGTTACGGAGGCTGTTCCCCGGAGAACAGCAGAAGCAAAATGTGAGTACAGTACGTACCGTAGGTTCATATGTATGTACATAGTGCGGTATGTAAACGTACTCAGGGGTAAAAAATCCTATTCCATCCGTCGTACCAATACTACCGTACGATACTACGATACGGATATCATAACAACAAGTGATCGGCAATCGGCAGGCACTTAGCAAGAAAGTAGTTCCCATCGTGAATTTAATGATGCCATTCTTAGTGCAGTAGAACACAGTACAAACTCTACTGAGGTAGTTTGCAACTATTCTGGTGCCAGAGAACCAATCCTGCTTCTTTCTCAGAATGCAAATCATGCTGAGAACTTTGGGGAGCAACACTCAGTAGTAGTACTACTAGTAGTAGTACTAGTAGAGCTCGTCCTCTCCTCCTGGTGTAGAGGAATGATTTGTACTGAAAAAAATAACTGTGGCATCATTAAATTAATGATGGGAACCAGCACTCCTTGCTGCTTTCTTGTTACTGCAACAATCACTTGTTATGATATCTATTGTAAGAAAAATTTCCCATAAACTTTTTTCTTTTTCTTTTTCTTTTTACTGCATAATAGTACTAGTAGTTAAACCATTCAACTTCTGGTGAGTAGTCAAAACTTTATCAAAAACACTACTATAATAATTTTAAGCTAGGTCTGAATTGCAGCACCTATACCAGTTTTTTGTGAGGATTCTGAATATGCAATACTATTTTCTTTGTTATCAAATGAATTGTTGTGCTATTGTTTGATAGTTAGTAAAAGACCATTTTACTAATACTAATACTACTACTACTAGCTGTAGAACCACTACTGGGGAGGATGTAGTAGGCAAAACAGATGAAGGACAGACAGTTCAAATTTTTACTAGGGACTGGACTGGTTTCACAAAATTGGATGAAGGACAAACTATTTGTATTACAATTACAGTACTAGTGTGGTGCTTCTGACAGCCCTCTGTCAGTGCACCAAATTTCAAACAACAGATAGCAATACCATCTAAGAAACACTTACTACTTGACTCTCAACTGTATGAGAAATATCCATATGAAGTTTGAAAATCAGAAAGTGATTACTAGAAGTGTTCCTACTATGACCCCAAGCAGCAACAGTCAACCTCCTATCAGTAGCTCCTTAAGTGAACAGCCACTTCCTTTCTGTGCCATTTCCTTCCTTGCACCATTTCTCTAGAAACAAAGCAAAACCAAGTACCATGTGTGCATTGTGGTCCAACAATCCAAGCAAGATCTACCTTGGGCAGCCACATCTGTCTCGTACATTTCTTGTTGACCACTTCATCTTTGCTGTAAGGAATTCCAGAAACTCAGTAGACTGTTTCAAGCTGATTTTTCCTACATGTGCTGTATCGTCATTTTGATGAATGGGATGGCACTGAAATTTAATCATAGCTAGATATCTCAATCAATTTAATTGTGTTCCATGCTATCTCATCAACCCTACTAGTGTTTGAAAATACTCATTTTTAGAGACCTGCCCATGTTGCTTGGCATACCAAGACCACAAATTTTCCTTCTCAATAATATGTGCAATTAGATCATTTACTTGCTGCAACTTTGTAGGATTACCACTGGCAATGCTGGCAAACACAGTCCATTTATGGACTAGCTTGTTTGGCATAAAATAGGACAAGACCTTCTTGTAGTAATAAACAGGGAGGAATTCCTTCTCTTTGTAGGATTATCATATACATTAGGATCCTCCCACCTCTACACTTTCTTTGTTGGAGAGAGCTTGTAGATATGATCTGGTGAAAGATGGCTTAGCTCATTGTCCATGAACAGTTAATCACTGGGGAATGGATTGTTGTTTTCAATGGGGCCTCCAGGGACCTCCCTTCTATGCACATGATCCATGATCAGATCAAGCACTATAGTACTTTAACAAGAATAATAAGAAAAGAAAAAGGATGATGGGTAGCAATGATACAGAAACACAGCATCCAGCATTCAACAAGAAAGACAGCAGATAATAGAACAACAGGGAGCAATGAGGAGGAGGAGAAGAAGAACAAGAAGCTCAGAGGTTTGTCACAGCAATACCTTGTCCTCCTTGAATACATGCTAGGATCATTCACTGAGATCCCTCCTTGAATAGTGATATGTTAGCTTTGCATTGCTTGTCCCTTGAGTATGGCTGGCCACAGTTCATAAAAATAGTAGTCCTCTTTTTCTAGTTAGTTCCATCATTTTCTTTGTCTGCTGGGCTAGTACATGTTGACATGACAAAAGCAGGCAAAGTGTCACCAGCAATTACTACTGTATTGTTTGGGAAGCAGGTAGTTCTGAGGTGTGTATTATGTAGCACCAGTACTATTAATATTTCTATTATAATTTTCAAAACTAATTTTTTTCAACCGCACAAAATTACACTTCAGTTCTGAAAATCATCACCTAGATTTCCTACTTATTCCTACACAGTACATACCTGACCAGCACCTTCTCACCCCCAAATCCACCATGATGACATCCCCCTCCAAAGGGGAAAACCCACCTCCCTAGCTCCATTCAAGCACTTCTAAGCAAGCAATCCAACCAAGACTATTCTAAGTATATCAATATCTCCATTCTGGTAGTAGCAGTTTGCCCCAGCTGGATCCATCCCCTGTTGCTCCAGAAGCACCATATCTTCCGGTCTTGAAGTTAGCATTTTCAGCATTTGTGCCAGAAAGCAACAACAACAACCCCTGAATCCAGTATTCAACCAAGATCTATCCTTTGAAGAACAACACCTGGAGTATACACTACATCATACTTAGTCTTCTTTGAGATTCACCAGTTCCAGTATTTTAAGGACCAGAAGAAGATTCCAGTCTTGTTGTTGTTGTTGTTGTTTCCTGCATTTGTGCCAGAAAGCAACAACTACAACCTCCAGTATTCAACCAAGATCTATCATTTGAAGAACAACACCTGGAGGATATGCTACACCATACTCAGCTGAAAGAAGATTCACTGGCCTTCTCTCCATGCAGTTCCACCAGTATTCTTTATGGACAGGAAGCCCCAGAGTTTTTTGGTCCTGATGTTGTTGTTTCCAACATTTGTGTTGGAAAGCAACAAAAACAACCCCCACTGTTTAACCCTGTATCAATCTTATTGATCTATCCCCAGTTTCTTCTTCAAGAAGATGCTCCACAAACAGTTGCTAGTACTTTGGATGATCTATCCCCACCAGTTTCTTCTTCAAGAATCTTCAAGAAGATGCTCCACANAAGATGCTCCACAAACAGTTGCTAGTACTTTGGATGATCTATCCCCACCAGTTTCTTCTTCAAGAATCTTCAAGAAGATGCTCCACAAACAGTTGATACTTTGGATGGGCTCAGCTGTGATTTGAAAGAAGTGTGCCAGTTTTCTTTTTTCTTTTGGCTTTTCTTTTTCTTTTTGATTTTTTTTCTTCTTGACTACTCTACCTCATGTGTCCTCGCCCACTGGGATGTGACTTGCCTTAATTGGCTTGGCAGTGTGCTTGGCACTCATTTCCTGGCCACTGTGGTGTGATTTGCCTTATGGCTTGGCAGTGCCCTCTGAAACAATAGTGGCATGGTTCTCATCCATCCAAACTGTGAACCAACCCCTTTTATGTTCTCTGAATCCAGCCCCAGGCCTTCATTGGTCTGTCAGTGTGCAAAACACTTGGTTGTGCCTCCGTCACCCCATGGAGCAGCTAAAAGCATTCTTCTCCATAGTCCAGAGAGGTTCTGGTTCTGGCCATATAGTGCCTCTTCTAGTTCATGAGGTTCAATATTGTAGTAGTAGTAGTAGTAGTAGTAGTTTTGAATGAATATGTCATTCAACTTAGGTCATGGATCTTCCCACTCCCAAGATTGTGCTATGATGGATGACAAGGAACATGTTTTCTGCTAAAATTCTCAAGTCATCTCCAAAATCCAAGTGATAAGTGCTTACAATGTGTATCCAGGGCATCAGCAACACTTGGGTGAAAAAGTCACATAAGCTCGAGTCTTCCTGTATCATAAGATATTGAAATCAAATAACAGAAGAAGTCAATAACAGTTCACCCAATGTTGAAAAGACGTGGACAATATCTTATTTGAATGATGGATTTTTAAAAATAATCATAACAGATATATTATATTTAACACATTGTAAGGTATCACTCGGAGCAAGTAAAAATGTAAATGTGTTTTGGAAGGGGTATCCATAGAAAGCGAGGTTCGGAGCTTCCAGGATTGAATAATACAATATACTATGATACCGCATTTCCGTCGAGAAGACATTCTTCTCGAAGCTACAGTATTTCCCCGATCCCTGTATTTAGTTGTTGCCAGATGCGTATTAGAGACGAGTAAGGAGTTTACCAAATCAACTCGACTGACGACGCTTGCGAATAGCCTCAGTTCCCCCTTGAGTAACGACAGCAAATCTTGGTTTGGTCGATGATGTCATTGCCATCAGCTTTGGATTCGATKGTGTTGAAAAGCCTTCCATTGATCTGGCTTTGGAAATTAGCACTCGAAGTGCAGCTTTCTGCTCTGGCGAATGAGAATGTTTTTGCATTGTAACCAGACGCTTCTTTGCATTTTGAAGGTGGGTTTTGAAGAAACAGCGGATGCGGTCACGAAGTTTTTTGTCGTTGAAGCACTCTGCAAACTGATATCCATGCTGGTGCGCAGTTTCTCTTGCTCGCTTGACGAGGTGGTTGTTGAAAGCTTGTTGTTGTTTTGATTGGCGTTGCTGCGTCGAGAGTTCGTAGTAATGCCCCATGGAATCGTACAGAATTTGCTCGCAGGGTGGATAATCCTTCCAAAAAAAGCCTTCTCCGATGATCCGAGATTGGGGTTCTGAGATTTCTTTAGGGCTTTCCTTGGATTGGCGCTGGAGTGCCATACATAGAATCAACTTTTTGTACAGTCCATGATCACGCAAAATCTGTACAAACGGATCGTCAATATTGTTTTGTTCAATTGTTGTAGGAGGCGGCGTAGGACCACTCGGCGCAGGATAGCTCAAGCKCCTGTTATCATTACCATTGCGATAGCTAAAAGGCGTGACAGCATAAGTTTGATTCAAGCTTCTTAGAGGCAGTTGTGAAGCCCGCATACTTTTCTGCGCCGGAGGAAGCGGGGTGGCTGCTTTTTGTTCCGGTCCAAGTGTGGTAGCTTTTTTTCGCTCCGGAGGGAGTGGAGTGGCTATCTGAGCGGCTGTAACAAAAAACGAAGATACGACAGAACGATCAAGGTGAGTTTACTGAGTATTTGTGAAGAAGTGAAGCGCCAACGTAAACTTGAACATCGTTGTATATGATATCTTACCGGCGCCCAACATCCGATCAAAGCAAAGAGTTATTGGACTTTTGAAAGGCGCACTAGCATTTCCTCCTGAAGACCTGCGATGATTAGGGGTGTAATTCATGTTGTTCGAATAATTGCTACGGTTAGAATACACCGTACTAGTTGAATTGATCTGCTGGTTGGAACGCATACCAGGTCGAATTAAACTCGGCACTTTCAGAACGCCTCCGCCATTGTGATTGATCCCGTCTTTGCTACCAGCAGAATAGTTCAAAGACCGATCTCCCAAGGGCAGGTGGTGCCCATGCGTGTTGCTCATTCCTGAACTCATTGCTCTTGTTTTTGATTTTCTATCGCGCAGGTTAATGGAATGCAATGGAATACTGCGAATATATCAATTTTTTGTAACTGCCACCAACAGAAGTCGGTTAAAATATTTTGATTGTGGAAGCATAAGATTTGTGAATAGAAAAGGTTTACGAAAGTTTCAAACGGTATAACGCGCGGGGCGAGGCAAAAAGGATTAGTCGTTACGCGCCGGGGGAGCATGACATGATGTCGTTAAAAATTGAAAAAATCGGTATGCAAGCGAATCAGTGGAATTCCATGACACTCGCGAAGGAAATCAGGATTCTCAAGAAAAGCTTCAGTTTCACAGCCGTATTGTAATTACCACTAAGGCACTTGAGCATAACATCGACTGAGAGTGTTCGCAGTACCGTATTTTTCAAGCATATCAAGGAAGGCGATACCTCTGCAATATTGGACAATGGTTCGACACCATTTGATTAAGACAGTTGGCATATTGTCGATATTATTGGTGTGGAATGTGCAAGGAGAGTTGAGTGCACCAAAAGAATCACCACTATCTCTTCGTTTGATTGATGTAGAGACAAACATTTCTCCAATTAATGTTCTTTTCTTAAACAAGAAAGCGTCGATAATTGTCGACGGTCTGGAGTGGTTAAGCCAAAACCAAGAAATTAGTGAAACGAGCGAAAGATCCCTTCTCAGTTACTCCACCTATATCAACGAACAGCAGACTGCAAATGGAAGCATTGACTTCTCAGTTTCTTCAAATAACACTAGCGCAGTATACTTTCCCACATCTATTGATGCGGGTGTAATTGAAGCAAAGGATTCGGGTGTGAATTCGATTCGCGTCCTCATTCATCATTTGTTGGATGATGAAATCATCGAATTGTCAGCCACTTTGGATGTGCGGTCGTATCGGCCAGAGATGGCGAGTATTCCGATTGCGCTTTCATTTGGATTATTTTTAGTTTTCAACATCCACATGGTCCACTCCCTCTTTCTTGCCATCTTCATTGGCTCCTGGATTATTGAAGGATCGATGACAAGGGGTTTCAAAGCAACTTTCGATACATTTCTCTTGGAAGCTGCTACCGATAACGATCACGTGTCAATGTGAGTGATCTGAAAGCTTCCTCTTCTCAATCACATTTTTCAACTGGAAGAATATCTAACAATTGGTTTTCATTGCTCTCAATGCTTCTACTTCCATGTTATGACAGTATTCTTTTCATCGTGGGGATATTTGGACTAATGGCAATGGTGAATAGAAGTGGAGGGACATCAGCAGTGATCAAATCTTTGACGCAACACTCGTCTAAGACCAGATTAGCACAATTTGTTATATTTCTAATGGGCTTGGCTTTCTTTTTCAACCCATACGTCAGTATAATGATTGTTGGTAATATTATTGGATCAATCTTCAAAAGCTTCCCTCTTTCAAGCGAAAAGGTATCATTCCTCATCGATACAACAGCCGCACCAGTAGCGAGCATCTTCCCAACGTCTAGCTGGGTAGTCTTCTCGACAGATCTCATCGAAAGAGAGATTGAAAAGATTAAAGCATTGGGATACGAAGAAGTCAGCGGCGTCAGTGGTCATTCTTTAATCATTTCGAGTATTATGTACCAATTTTATCCCATTTTTGTTCTTGGACTTGCTGTATTGCAGATCTTAACGGGACGTGAGATGGGCCTAGTATTAGATGCAGAAAACAAGGCACGACTGAGCTACAACAGTATTGATCCGAGAAAGACATCTTTTTCAAGGTTAAAAGAAAGGTCATTGAACTGGTACATTCCTGTCGTCACTCTCAATGTCTTCCTCTGGTATGCTTTCAGTCAGGACGATAATGAGAGTACTGAAGCTTTTGGAACTACATGGTTGATGAATACAGTGGCTGCAATAATCATTACACAATTGTTTTTTGTGTTTCAAAGAAGGGATGGGAAAGTACCATTTCTGAGTAAATGCTTCGATCGGTATGAAAGAGACACGATTGCATACTTGACTGACACATTCCCATCAGCATCTGGATCTGCTTCAATCCATTACAATCCTTCCTCCAAATCTGAAGACGAGGAAAATTACCTGAAAGCTCTCGATGATGATTGCCAAATGATTTTGCAAATGAACACGGAAGAAGAAGAGAACGGAAGAAAAGAGAAGTCTTGGCTTGTGTGTTCGACAGAGCCATCTCTATTGACTTTTCACGACGGTGCAAAATGCATGGTGCAGAGTGCAGTGAGAGCCGCGCCCATTGCCCTTTCTCTGGTGTTAACATGGGCAGCCGGTTCTGTATACCAAGCCCTTGGAATCGATCGTGTCGTGATCTCCTGGATTGTGAGTGACACAATTTCAGTAGAAATATTGCCAATCACTATCTTTCTCTCGACATTCTTTTTATCGATCACACTTGGGTCATCCATGACCACTATTTCAATCTTGTTGCCAACAATAATGACTCCGCTCGTAGACTCTCTCGGGGGGGATTCGAAGGGTATGAGTCTTGTTTTGGCATCAATTCTCAGTGGTGCAGCCGCTGGGGACCACATCGGACCTTTCTCGGAAACGACAATCATATCTGCTCTTGTTTCCGGGATTACGGTTCGGCGCCATTTCATTACGCAGGCGCCTTACGCGCTTTTTGTATTGGTAATGAGCTTATTGGTCGGAACTTTACCGGTGTCATATGGTAGCTACCCTGCCTACGTTGGATACATCATCGGAGTTGTTGTTTTGCTTCTATTTGTGATCCTGGTATGTCGGCAAGTGAAGAGATACAAGTCGAGTATCGGAGGACCTTCACCACCTATGCCTGTTTCTGAAGTTCTGCATCCAATGATAGCTCCTCAAGACAAGAGGAGGGAAGATAGATCTGCGACGCCCATGCACCCCGGCACGGACAACCAACAGCAGCAACCAAGAACGAACGAGCCTTTGGACGGCACCGATGTCGTGGAAGGCCGTGAATCTTTCAAGAGCAAGCTGCAGACTATCAATGACGCAGGAGGCGACCCGATCAAAGGACTTGTGGAAGACGGCATACTGCCCAACAACTTCGTGAATTTTCTCCAGAAGCCACCTCTGGGGCAGGGGGCTCCGGAACGAAACGCCCCGCTGGACTCGGCCAAGGAAAGCAAGAAACGCTTGATCGAAGCCACGATAAAAAAAGCCGAGCAGGATGGCAACGTGTTCTCCGACTCGCTGAGAACTTTCCTTCGCACGGCCCAAGAGAACCTCGGAAACATGCTGGACGACAACAGAAACCAGGGGATCTCTGCCTCTGCAAGCACAGAGAGCGGCGGCGACGACGACGACGACGACTCGTTGGACAACCTAATGATGAACATTGCTGCCAAGGGGTGGAGAGCGAGCATCAACAACATACTGGGAGACGCAAAAAATAAAGACGATTACAGCACCGATGGAGGGAGCAGCATGATGGAATCCGACGAATCTGCCTTCACGTCTGCGTCATCTCGCTCCGGACCGTCTCACTTTTCGACGGGAACCTCTCAGTTGTTGAATCCACTCGAATTCAACAACGACGATTTTTCGTCCGTTCCCGACGAAGAGCAAACCGCCATAGCATCCTTTTAGGATTCTCGCTGTATTTTGAACGGTGGTCGACTCGTCTCGCAAACTTTCGTAGTGACAAACACACAAAAATAGACTCGTGCATACACAGAAACTCTCCCCACAAATACATAGAACTGAAAGGACGCACTCAATTTACCGTATTCAGTCGCCATCTCAAAATATAATCATGTACGCAATAGTCAAAATTAGTCTTGATGTACTACATAGTGTCGCCGTACCTCCGATAAGGAGACATGGGAAATCCACATATTACCTTGGTCTCGATTGGTCGAAGTCGTTCGAGCCTTGGTAAGAATTTGCAAAACGAAAATTCCATTTGCCGATGCCTTTGCTGTATTAGTACGAGGTTGGACCGACTCTTTTCCGACAAATCATGCGGTTGTTCTTTTGAAAACGCCAAGAATATTGCATGCGTTTTGACAGGAAACCAGAATGCCTCAGTTGAAGTTACAAAGTGTTGCTACATTTGGGCAAACGAATTGGAGAAACAAGCACAAACGCGCTAGATCGAACAATTTCGTTTGGAAGTACGGTAGGATTTACGGAGCAGCAGATATTACAGAACAATCATTTCATACCCGTATTTTTTTGAAGAGGATCTCGCTATTGCGTTCGTTAGTGAGTATCGTAGCTACCGCAGTGTGTTGCTACGACGCTACGTCGTGCGCAGGCAAGCACACAGAAGCACACAGCAGAAAAAGCGTTCCGGTCTGTTGGACAAAGCACCTCGAAACAGTGGCTCCGCACGGATTCAATCTAGTCACGCTTCAAATCGAAATAGACGGTCTCGATTCCTTCTTTCGTGATGATCTTGATCTCGACCTGGTCGCCCGTGTAAATGTCGCGCTCCCCACAAGAGAGGAATGCATCCTTGATGATTTCCACTACCTCTTCCTTGGGAAGTTCCCTCTTTTCGTCCTGACGATTTCGGTGTGCGATTACGTTATCGAGGAGAGGAATGATGTAGGCTTGGCCACTGCCCGTCGCCGTGACCGTCGTTCGCTCGAAGCTTCCGATGGCATCGTAGGAATAAATAGCCCCCTTTCCCTCTTCGTCGATGCCACCAAAGACATTGAAGGCGTAGTATGGGAAGAACCGCTTGTAGTACAGGGTGTTTCCGAGCATCTGGGCCACCGAGGGAGTCGACATCGGCTTTCGGTGGTTGTGGTGGTACATTTTCATCTTGATGTCGAGGACGGACCGCAGCTGATCGACGTCTGTTTTGCATCCGGCACTACCAAGCACGCACTTCTCGGTGAGGGGATGGAGCTTGCTCATGTTGCGCGAGAGAATTTCGTAACCGGAACTCAGACGGGTGTCGGCCGCAATCACTGCATAGTCGGAACCAGAAATGGCCACGCAGGTACCCCCATTAAAGTCGTAGGGACTGAAGCGACGCTCGTAGGGGTTTTCGGTGACGCCGTGGTCGATTTTTCCGAGGGTCGTGTTTCCCTCCGAGTTGTGCGCCATGATTCCATTGAGCCGGGGATCCAGGGGCGCGGTCTCCTGGGTTGCCCGGAACCTGCCCCCGCCGGAGCGCATGGGTTTGCTGGATGGTGGCATAAACGCTTCCATGTTTTGTTGGTTTCGACTTGGTTTGTTTGATACCGGGACAATTGCCAGCGGTCCTTGGGTCACTTTTTTCTATTCACCGAAAGTCTTCTTTGTGTTTGTAGGGTACGGGTACTGCCGCAGATCAGAAGAAGTGTTCGAAAACGATTGCTCGTAGTCCTTTGCTTTCTGAATTATTCGTTGCAACACGGTTGTTGTTGCGGTTGCTACTGATGTTATTCGTTGCCTGTTTCGCACATGAAGTTTCATTCTGCCTCTGCGCCGTACCGTACCGTACTTACGGGTACTTGGTTCGTACCGGTAGGAAACCATGGTTTTCGATGCTTCGGAAAGCGTCGATATCTTTCCATACGGGACTCGATTGAAACTCGATTGAATCAATTGCGCTTACCGAAAACCGAAAACAAACAAAACGTTCTCCTCTTCCATGCTCAGCCACCATCTTACGGGTTCGGGGATCGGTACAGTTAGTACGTACGAGTACTTGGTACATAGGTACCACATGTCAAATTACAAATTACAAATTACGGTACTTTTTTCTTTTTCGTATTTCACAAGTCAAAATCCAAATCCAAATTCCAATTCCGCTTTCGAACTCTTCTTGTTCTGTCCATCACAAAAAGACCAATCGCAATGAAGCCAAGCGACCAACAACACGTGGGACGCCAAGCGAGCGCTCGATTTTTGGGACCTCGATACGCCACTGATATTATTCCTCACAAAAGAATTGCAGCGTAGCACGGTAGATGCCGCTGCCTCCAGTGGTTTTCTGGCGAGGAATCGGAAGAGTTGCGGCCCCGGTTCGTCAATTGGAGGTTCAATTGCCAAGAGGCATTCCCGATTTGATTCCGGGTGCACCGCAGAAATTCTTGTCCCCTCCCGCGGGCCGGATTGTCCGACCGATGCCGTGAGACACGAAAACGGGACCTGGGGGTGCCAGGCCGATCGAGGCGCCCTATTGCAACGCTTCGAGGTACTTTTTCTGAGGCTGCAAAAAATAGCACCTACTAGTAGCCTTGGTGTAAATCAGGTGGCCAAAGTACTACCAGCATCAAACTCTACAACGACCGGTACGGCTGAAGACGATAAACGGTGCTACAAGCCAAAGCCAAAGACCAAAATCGGCGCTCCAAATCCGATTTTAGAAGGGTTATCGCAATCCTCCGATGCCATGCATATGCAATACTTTGGACTTTATGAAGAAATACCCATTTCGCTAGAGACGAAGCAGTAGAAACTTTTGGACGAGTTCAGGCCACCAGCTATAAATTGGACGGTAGAGGTCGAAGAGGTCGCCCACCTCACTCTCACAAAGGTACCGGAAGTTTCCCAAAATATAGCGGGACACCCTTCGTCTCGTATATATTTTTGTGCCAATATGTTCCTGCAGGATTCGGGATTTGACGACACGATTCAGGAGTTGACATCGAAGTCTACCACAACAGCGGATAACACACCTCTAAGAGGTAGGTTGAGAGGTATAGGAATCGCTACAATGGTGGCCAAAAGCGAAAATTAAGTTCAGTTTCGTTAAGCATCATGCATGAGAAACGAAATCAGAGCTGCTGTTCATGCTTATTGAAATGCTGATAGGAATTTGTCGTCTCGGTTCCCGTGCAGTCATATCATCATAGATCGTCCATTGATGCCGTCGTGATCATCTAATGGAATGATCAGACGCTCGGTAACCGCTCAACAACGGACAATCGCAGGCTGCCATCCAGCAACAATTATTTTGCAATTTTCAACTTTTGAAAACGAGATTCCCACTTTATTAATTTTCAATTTGTTCAAAAAGTCAATTGAATAGCGGATTCAATTCGTTCTGATTTTTCCAAGCTGCTGCATGTGTGCCTTGGAATACAATGAAATCTAAAGACTAATACCCCTGTACCTTCTTGAGAATTAAGGTTCCTAGTGTCTGGATTCGTTTTGCTTCGTTAGCTATTCCCTTTCGAAATGCGTACTGATGCATGCACTTTCTTCCCATAACGCTGAAAGGATAAAAATATGATCATTACCATCACTATTTCTTCTTTTCGTCGTTTTTGACACTCTCTCTATCTAGATCCATGGCTTTTTGTAGCTGGGCGTCCTTCTGGGCGGATTGATACACCATATAATTCGACAACGCTCGAATCGCGTCGGACTTGTAAGCTTCGATTTTCGTCGGATCTTTCTCTTTTGCGTGGACCTTAAATTGCGTTCGGACCGTCTGCCGAAGGGCCATTGCTTTCGGAGACTCTCCAGGAGCCAAGTGGCGTACCAGTCGAAGACAATCTCGATAGAGCTAATATAATAATACAATCAACACATCGATTTATTGGATGCGAAAATCCAGTGGAACAAACCAAGATCATTATTACGTAGTCCCCAAAAAGTGCAATGAAAACGATGAGAAACAACAGCCGAACATCAAGAGCTTACAAAACACGGACAATGATCGCAACCAATTATTCTCACTTCCAACGCCGTTCGATTGGCAATCCCAGACATTGCTTCTCTCAAACGGTGAGATTCTTGACGGTGCTTTCGTCGCTTGTCGCCAACGTTCAAAAACTGCTTTGTTCCGTTCCTATTACAGTAGTACCGGTTCAGTAGTGGTCTTTTCCAGTCTTGAGTGTCAAATTAGGTCTTCTGCGGTACGCTGCAAGTGGAAGTCGAACCAGACCTTTATTGTACTGCACTTTGTACGTATTGTAATGGTGTGTATGTATTTTCCATATGTATGTATAGTACCTATTGGTCAGTGGAAGTTGAAGGCACTGTATTAGGAATCAGTGTTTGATAATAACCTGAACCCTAAGATATATATTTTGTACTTATTTTCATCAGTAGAGGTTTTTGATTCTATTTTGATCTGATAACATCATGATGATACCAGTATTTTCTGTAGATTCTTGTTCCGTAGTAGCCCAATTTGAAAATAATTTTGTTTGTAGTACGAAGCATTCTAAGCACAACTTTCCTTGTTGATTGGTGAGTGTTGATCAGTGAGTGTTGGTCAGTTAGTGTTGGTCGGTTAGTGTTGATTGGTGAGTGTTGATTGGTGAGTGTTGATTGGTGAGTGTTGATTGGTGAGTGTTGATTGGTGAGTGTTGATCAGTTAGTGTTGATTCGTTAGTGTTGATCGGTTAGTGTTGATCGGATAGTGTTGATCAGTTAGTGTTGATCGGTTAGTGCTGTTAACCGGTGAGTGTTAATCAGTAAGTGTTGATTACTGAGTGTCGATCATTGAGTGTCGATCACTGAGTGTCGATCACTGAGTGTCAATCACTGAGTGTTGATCTCTGAGTGTCAATCACTGAGTGTCAATCTCTCACTGAGTGTTGATCAGCGAGTGCTGTATATGATCAGTGAGTGTGTAGTATGATTTTTGGTGAGTGTTAATCGGTGAGTGTGTATGATTGGTGAGTGTTGATCAGTTAGTGTTGATCGGTTAGTAATGATTGGTGAGTGTTGATTGGTGAGTGTGGATTGGTGAGTGTTGATTGGTGAGTGTTGATCCCTGAGTATTGATTGGTGAGTGTTGATCCCTGAGTTTTGATCAGTGAGCCAGTGTTGATTGGTGAGTGTGTACAATCAGTGAGTGTGTATCAGTGAGTGTGGAAAAATCACGTGTGCAACAGTGCAGTTAGTGTAGTGTTGATATCACAGGTGAATACACTGTAATATACACTAGAGACTTAGCTAATCTAGATATCACCATGGTGAGGGCATGAAAGGGTTTTAGTTGTTAAAGAAAAGAATAAGTGGGAATAAACAGCAGCTCAATATTTGCTGTATTCCGATCGATTTAGCGATTCGGCGATTCAGTGGTCGGTACGGTTTAACCTTAACCCTAATCGTAATACTCGTACGATTCACTCGTATCGTACGATTCACCAAAGATATGATTCAACTTTAACCTTAAGCGTATAACTCATACGATTCATTCGTATCGTATGAGTGACTCAACTCAACCGTACACGAGTGATTTTCACAAGTGTGTATCAGTGAGTGTGTGTCAGTGAGTGTTCCTCTATGAGTGTGGATTGGTGAGTGTGAATGATCGGTGACTGTGTATCAGTGAGTGTTTATTGGTGAGGTGCTTGTTTATCACTGAGTGTTTATCAGTGAGTGTGTACTAGTATTTGTGAGTGTTTATCAGTGAGTTTTATCAGTGACATGCTTGTTTATCAGTGTGGTGCTTGTGTATTGGTGCCTTGTTTATTGGTTGGTGTTTTGGTTGGTGTAGTTGCACTGAGCTACTGTTGGCACAGTACTGAAGCTGCAGTAATCCTGTTGAGATCAATACATTTGGCCAGCTTGCAACGGATACGTATGTACTGCATTAAAAGGATACGTACGTACTGGAAAGGAAGCATACGTACGATACGATGCTCCCTCTGAATGGATGGGTATACCATTCCTACCTACGTATCATAATATACTATTCATATATATGTATCATACGATCATCATGTTGATGATCGTGAGAGGTCTAAGATACTATTCGAGAATACCTCACRAAGAATAGAGATGTCACGAGTCCGGAAYAGAGAACCTCCATGTAGAATCCCTACCAGGTCTACATGAGATTCCAATCGGAACTTCGGAATTCTCGTGAACGCGCTTGGTAATCTTTGAATAATTCTAATCTTATAATTCAATTTTCATACACACTTAACACMTACTAAGAGAGTACACGTAATCTCGTGCACAGTAATTACTAAGTGATTTTTCGTGTATCGAAATTTAATCAACCCTTAAAAAAAACAACCAAAATACCACACCGACCATGGTGAAATCTTCCACACGATCATGTTGATGATGATCGTATGATACATATATATGAATAGTATATTATGATACGTAGGTAGGAATGGTATACCCATCCATTCAGAGGGAGCATCGTATCGTACGTATGCTTCCTTTCCAGTACGTACGTATCCTT